GTGCATGGGGCTCAACAACAATTAACCATCTCAGACCACTAATTACCCAACAAAAGGCTGCAGTCAGAATGATAACAAATTCCCACTACAGGCAGCACACTCCACCAATATTCAAAACACTAAACCTACTCACCATACAAAACATCCATACTTATTACTGCACCTATTACATACATAGAACACTTAACTCTGATATTAACCCTTCCCTCAAACATCTCCTTGCCAACCTCAACAGAACACACGACCATAACACAAGGCACAGATCACTCTTTGATGTTCCTCGTGTCCATCTCATGCTATGCAAAAACTCAATGCACATAAAAGGCCCTAAAATCTGGAATTCATTACCTGTAAATATAAAAGAAACACTACCTGTTTATAAATTCAAGTCTCTTCTCAAAGAGCACTTACTCACCCAAAACCAAATAAATACTGAATAATTGAACCTTATAAATTGTATATCTTAAATGTTTCTCACAATTATATCACATTATATCTAACTTTGTTATTTTTTAAATACACTACCTAACAGAATACTCCATTCGACTGAATGTACAGCAATGCATGCAACCATATGACCTGTCTTTGTAATACTCATTTGTGCTTTATTGTTATCTGTTTACAATAATATTTTATCATTGCTTAGTTAATCTTAAGTTAATTTTAAGCCAGCCCATAATGCTATGCATACAAGTGGCTTTGGCATGCTGCTCTTACCTGTATTTTTTTTGTACCTCTGTATGTATGCTCAAATTACTAAATAAATAAATAAATAAATAAAAGGGGCTAGTAACCCTTTCTCCTGTATAAATTACTTGGTGGGATATGGCCGTTTGTTGAAAGAAGTTTACTGAGTATTAGGTAGTAGGTTAGTAAACAGCAACCATCCTGCCAAGTGAGTGAAAAAGGAAAGCCTGTAATTGTTTTACATGATGGTAGGATTGCCAGTGTCCTTTTTTCTGTCTCATAAACATGCAAGATTTCAGGTACATCTTGCTTCTTCTACTTACACTTAGGTCACACTACACATACATGTACAAGCATATATATACACACCCCTGTGGGTTTTCTGCTATTTTCTTTCTGGTTCTTTTTCTTGTTTATTTCCTCTTATCTCCATGGGGAAGTGGAACAGAATTCTTCCTCCATAAGCCATGCGTGTTGTAAGAGGCGACTAAAATGCCGGGGGCAAGGGGCTAGTAACCCGTTCTCTTGTATAAATTACTAAATTTAAAAAGAGAAACTTTCGTTTTTCTTTTTGGGCCACCCTGCCTTGGTGGGATACGGCTGGTTTGTTGAAAAAAAAAAAGTTTACTGAGTATACCAGGAAAAGTGTACGGTAGGGTTATTATTGAAAGAATTAGAGGTAAGACAGAATGTAGGATTGCGGATGAGCAAGGAGGTTTTAGAGTGGGTAGGGGATGTGTAGATCAAGTGCTTACAGTGAAGCATATATGTGAACAGTATTTAGATAAAGGTTAGAAAGTTTTATTGTATTTATGGATTTAGAAAAGGCATATGATAGAGTGGATAGGGAAGCAGTGTTGCAGATGTTGCAAGTATATGGAATAGGTGGTAAGTTACTAAATGCTGTAAAGAGTTTTTATGAGGATAGTGAGGCTCAGGTTAGGGTGTGTAGAAAAGAGGGAGACTACTTCCTGCTAAAAGTAGGTCTTAGACAGGGATGTGTAATGTCACCATAGTTGTTTAATATATTTATAGATGGGGTTATAAAAGAAGTAAATGCTAGGGTGTTTGGGAGAGGGGTGGGATTAAATTATGGGGAATCAAATGCAAAATGGGAATTGACACAGTTACTTTTTGCTGATGATTCTGTGCTTATTGGGAGTGTGTGTAAAAGTATAAAGTTGAAAGTGAACATAGAAAAGAGGAAGGTGATGAGGGTATCAAATGATTTAGATAAAGAAAAATTGGATATCAAATTGGGGAGGAGGAGTATGGAAGAAGTGAATGTTTTCAGATATTTGGGAGTTGACATGCAAGTGGATGGATTTATGAAGGATGAGGTTAATCATAGAATTGATGAAGGAAAAAAGGCAAGTGGTGCGTTGAGGTATATGTGGAGACTAAAAACGTTATCTATGGAGGCAAAGAAGGGAATGTATGAAAGTATAGTAGTACCAACACTCTTATATGGGTGTGAAGCTTGGGTTGTAAATGCTGCAGCAAGGAGGCAGTTGAAGGCAGTGGAGATGTCCTGTCTAAGGGCAATGTGTGGTGTGAATATTATGCAGAAAATTTGGAGTGTGGAAATTAGGAGGTGTGGAGTTAATAAAAGAACTGTATTAGTCAGAGGGCTGAAGGCGGGTTGTTGAGATGGTTTGGTCATTTAGAGAGAATGGATCCAAGTAGAATGACATGGAGAGCATATAAATCTGTAGGGGAAGGAAGGCGGGGTAGGGGTCATTCACGAAAAGGTTGGAGGGAGGGGGTAAAGGAGGTTTTGTGAGCGAGGGGCTTGGACTTCCAGCAAGCGTGCGTGAGCGTGTTAGATAGGAGTGAATGGAGACAAATGGTATTTGGGACCTGATGAGCTGTTGGAGTGAGCAGGGTAATATTTAGTGAAGGGATTCAGGGAAACCTGTTATTTTTATATAGCCAGACTTGAGTCCTGGAAATGGGAAGTACAATGCCTGCACTTTAAAGGAGGGTTTCGGGATATTGGCAGTTTGGAGAGATATGTTGTGCATCTTTATACGTATATGCTTCTAAACTGTTGTATTCTGAGCACCTCTGCAAAAACAGTGATTATGTGTGAGTGTGGTGAAAGTGTTGAATGATGAAGAAAGTATTTTCTTTTTGAGGATTTTTCTTTGTTTTTGGGTCACCCTGCCTCGGTGGGAGATGGCTGATTTGCTAAAAAAAAAAAATCACCTAGAATTAGTGTGTTAGGTAAACTTATTAGGCATTACATATCAGCACTAAACAGTAAAAATGACAAAATTTGCCATTACTGCATGGCATCAGGCATTCTCAAATTAACACATTTCATCACGCTATTAATTATGTGATTTAGCATGTACCAGCATTCTGTACCATGTTAATCATTATAAGTGTGATGTTATAATACTCCACATTTGCTATTAAAGGAGTGAAATAAAATAAAATACTACACGTGCAAATATCACTAGGTGGAAGGGGCCATTTGTGTAAGTCCCAACAAACATGACTAACTGGAGCAGAAGCTAGCTGATGAGGGCTTTATGGGTGAAACACCCAGAAGCTGGGCTCAGATACATAGCTTTATGACTGGACTCATGATGCTGCCAACCAAAATTTACCTCTAAAGAATTCAAATTCCTTTGAACTAATTGACCATATTTTTATTTTATGTACAACACCAACACTGACATTCCAGTTCCTCAAAGAAGCAAGTTCCAGAGTTTCAAAGTTGAGCTTTACTACAGTGCTACCTTCTGTTGGATCATTCCAGCAGTCTGCCACTCTTTGAAGAAATGTGTTCTAGTCCTCTTTTGGCATCACATTTTCTTGATTAGTAATTGAAGCTACTCATTTCCCTTTTAAATGTGATAATGTCATGTTTGAGAGCTAAGTGTGGGGTGAATATCAGGCAGAGAATTTGAAGTGTAGAAATTAAAAGGTGATATGGGGTGAACAAGGGTATAATTCAGAGAGGAGGGGTTGTGGAAGTGGTTGGGGCATGTAGAGAGGATGAACAGGGATGGGTTGACAAAGAGGGTGCCTTTTTGTTCTTTATGGCTGTTTAGCCTGCTGGCTAAAGCTCTCGCTTCGCACACGGAGGGCCCGGGTTCGATTCTCGGCTGGTGGGAACATTTTGAGAGGAGGGGTTGTGGAAGTGGTTGGGGCATGTAGAGAGGATGAACAGGGATGGGTTGACAAAGAGGGTGCCTTTTTGTTCTTTATGGCTGTTTAGCTTGCTGGTTAAAGCTCTCGCTTCACACACGGAGGGCCCGGGTTCGATTCTCGGCTGGTGGGAACATTTTGACATATTTCCTTACACCTGTTGTCCTGTTCACCTAGCAGCAAATAGGTACCTGGGTGTTAGCCAACTGGTGTGGGTCGCATCCTGGGGGACAAGATTGAGGACCCCAATGGAAATAAGTTAGACAGTCCTCGATGACGCACTGACTTTCTTGGGTTATTCTGGGTGGCTAACCCTCCGGGGTTAAAAATATGAACAAAATCTTATCTTACTATCATCATTGTAATTGTAATTTTATAGGTGGTTACCTTAGTTCTTTTTTCCTCCTGTCTATCTTTATAATTTGAGTTTTTTAATTGGGAGCCAGTTGAGCATTCATCAGTTGAGGATGACCAACACTTTGGTCATCCATCATTGTCAAAAACAGATCCCAGCATCGAAAAAGTAAGGAATACTGCTCACGAAGAATGTTGTCAGAATATTTAGGGCACTGCAAATGTTGTGGGAATTTCTTATGGGTTGTGTTAAAGCATTATGACTGAAAAATTGAACATGAGGCAAGTGGCTGTGAAATTTGTGCTCCACTTGCTGACTCAAAACCAGAAAGGCCAGTGTTTTCTCTGCAGATCTAGCCAGCTTTGACTTCTTCCTCTTCCCAAAAAATAAAGGGCAGCATTTTAACGACATGGAGGAGATTCAGGTCAAATCGCAAGCTGCACCAGATGCTGTTAGGAAAGAAGAGTTCCAGAAATGTTTCAAGAAGTGTTAGAAGTGCTGTGATCAGTGTATAGCCTCCCAAAGTACTGATATGAATCAAGGCTTTGTAGGTATTCACATAATTTTCAGTGTAGGAAGAGATAGTGTTTATTGAATAACTTATTAAAAGTTCTTATGGAATCATGTCCAATGTGGCTGACATGTGTAGACTGGATGGCTTTTGTCATTGTCTTTGTATTTTGGTTAGTAATTCTGTGCTGTTATTAGTGTGCAGCATGCACTATTCTGAAATATTTGCTACAGCAATTAGTTAAGACTGCCTTGATGATGACTAAATACTAATTCATTGTTGTGACAGGTGACTACATTGTTGGAAACATTTGAGCAAGCTATTATAGGAGCAGCACCAGAAGGAAGCAACACAGGTGACATGAGAGAACTTCTTCAGAATCTGCCTAAGTAAGTAAAGGTGCCTGGTAAAAAAATTATTCACATTATTGTAATTAATAGCTAAATGTCACTTATCTTCACATCATTATCATCATCATTTGAAATTGGTCCATTAGTCCTTTGATTTTCTGATTGAGAGGCTGCTTATAAATGTGAAAAAAAAAATTGTGTGAATCCTGGAGATGAGAAGTAAAATGCCTGCACTCTAAGGAGGGGTGAGAATTTTTGCTGTTTAAAGGTACATTTGAACTGTCATATCTGCTTGCCTCTTGGGAAGATGGTGATAGTGTGACTGATAATGTGAGCGTAGGGAAGATGCATGAGGTATTAGGTAGAATGAATGGGGGTAAAGCTGGAACTGATGGGATCATGACAGAAATGTTAAAATCAGGGGGGATATAGTTTTGGAGTGGTTGGTACTTTTGTTCAATAAATGTATGAAAGAGGGTAAGGTACCTAGGGATTGGCATAGAGCATGTATAGTTCCTTTATATACAAGGAATGGGGACAAAAGAGATTGTAAAAGTTATAGGGGAATAAGTTTACTAAGTATACCAGGTAAAGTGAATCATTAGGTTATTATTGAAAGAATTAGAGGTAAGACAGAAAGCAGGATTGCAGATGAACAAGGAGGCTTTAGAAAGGGTAGGGGATGTATAGATCAAATATTCACTTTGAAGCATATAAGTGAACAATATTTAAATAAAGGTAGGGAAGTTTTTATTACATCTATGGATGTAGATTTAGAAAAAGTTTAGATAGGGTGGATAGGGGAGCAAAGTGGAAGATGTTGTAAGTGTATGGAATAAGTAGTAAGTTACTAAATACAGGAGAACCTTGGTATAGGACCAGCTCCCTATTCGAACAAAGCTCAGCACTCGACCAAACAATTATGACCTGCTAGAAATTTGCTGTAAACTATTTCGTGTTTCTTCACCATGGGGCCTATGAATAGTCACCATGGGGCCTATGAATAGTGATAACAGCCAACCAAATAGAAAATTGGTTGAGAAGAACTTATCTTTCACATACCTTTGAAGAGTTTTGAGAAATTCCCAAGACTGTTCAACTGCCCCCAGCATACATCAGTGGGATTACCAATAGTCCCCTGGCTGTCTTCAAGCGGGTGCTGGACAGGCACCTAAAGTCAGTACCTGACCAGCCAGGTTGTGGTTTGTACATTGGATTACGTGTGGTCAGCAGTAACAGCCTGGTTGATCAGGCCCTGATCCACCATGAGGCCTGGTCACAGACCAGGCCTCGGGGGTGTTGACCACTGAAACTCTCTCCAGGTATATGCCAGGTATACTCTCTGAGCCCAGCTATGGGCCAGGCATGTCTGGTGCTTGCCTGGTCAACCAGACTGTTGCTGCTGGAGGCCTGCTGCCCTGCATATCCATCACAGCCTGGTTGATCTGGCACCTGGTGAAGATACTTGTCCAGTTTCCTCTTGAAGGCTTCTACACTTGTTCCAGCCGTGTTTCTGATGTCTTCTGGTAAGATTTTGAATAGTCTGGGACCCCGGATGCTGATATAGTGTTCCCTTATTGTCCCCACTGCACCCCTGCTCCTCACTGGGTTTATTTTACACTTCCTCCCATATATATCACTCCAGGATGTTGTTATGGCAGTGTGCAGATTTGGGACCAGGCCCTCGAGTATTTTCCATGTATCATGTATCTCGCTCCTACGCTCCAATGAACATGTGTTCAAGACTTGCAGGCATTCCCAGTAGTTTAAGTGCTTTACAGGCTCAATGTGAGCCGTAAACGATCTCTGTATTTGTTCCAGCTTCAATATTTCTCCTGCTTTGAATGGGGCTGTCAGCACTGAACAATATTTTAAGTGAGGGAGCACTAATGATTTGAAGAATGTCACCATCGGCATTATTTCCCTTGTTTTGAAAGTTCTCAATACCCACCCCGTCATCTTCCTGGCTGTCATGATCTTTGTCTTGTTATGAGCTTTAAAAGAAAGGTCTGCTGATTTAATCATTCCCAAGTCTTTTACATGTTCCTTACGTTTTATTTGGTGACTGTCTTGAGTTTTGTATATAGTGTTCCTTTTGAGTTCTTCATTCTTTTCATACCTAAGCAGCTGGAACTTATCACCATTGAACGTCATGTTCTCCACTGCCCACTGGAAAACCCTGTTTATGTCTTCCTGTACTTTTTCAGTGTCCTCTACCATAGTGACTTTCATGCTTATTTTAGTGTCATCTGCAAATGATGATGCAAAAGTGTGCCAGGTGTTTTCGTCTATGTCTGCTATACGGGATGAGAAACAGCAGAGGTGCCAGGACTTCAAAAAAGCAATAAATGACATGCCCATGCACTTTAGTCCCAGGCTCAGACTCATGGAATTCTGTGTTCATCAAGAACTGCAAGAAGTCCCTTTCACGTGCCTTCAGAATTTTGCACAGAGGGAGCACGGACACAGGGGTCATCCCAGTCACTAAAAACAACAGACATAACCCCACTCCACAAAGGTGGCAGTAAAGCAATTGACAAGAATAATAGACCTATAGCACTAATGTCCCATATCATAAAATTATTTAAAAGGGTCCTAAGAAGCAAGATTGCCACCCACCTAGATATCCATTAGTTACACAAGCCAGGGCATCATGATGGGTTTAGAGCAGGCTGCTCATGCCTGTTCCAGCTACTGGACCATTATAACAAGGTCCTCGATGCTCTAGAAGACAAAATGCAGATGTAGTATACACAGACTTTGTGAAAGCCTTTGATAAGTGCAACCATGGTGAAATAGAACACAAACTGCATGTTAAAGGAATAATAGGAAAAGTTAGTCGATGAATCTATAACTTCCTAACAAATGGAACACAAAGGGTAATAGTAAACAGAATGAAGTCTGAGGCAAATACAGTGAAAAAAGCTCTGTTCCACAAGGCACAGTACTCGCCCCCATCCTATTTCCACATCCTCATATCTGACATAGACAGACACACAAGCCGCAGCACCATGTCTTCCTTTGCAGATGACACCCGAATTTGCATGAGCGTCATCCATCGATGACGCTGAAGGACTCCAAGTGGACATCAACCAAATCTTTACATGGGCTGCAGAGAACAATGTGAAGTTCAATTAACCTTTAAACGGTCCAAACATATATGTAGGTTCACTCGTGCAGAGCCCCGAATATTTTGATTTTTTTTTTTTATAGAAAAAAGAGCACTTTTTTTTAAGTATTTTAGAATAAAATAAAATTTTAGGGTCAGTACTTACCGAGATATGAGGCCGAGAAGTTGGCACTGGATGCTCATGTGACAGCAACATCGAGTCCTGCCACTTGCAGAAGTGTTGCCGATATACCTTTTTTTCTATTTTTCATATTATTTTATGTAATTTTTATGTTCTGATAATTACAGTTTGTAGTAGTTCTTGTCATTTTATAACCAATCTTTGTTCTGACACTAGTATTAGGTACTGAAATTGTACTCAAATTGTCACAAACACACTGACAGGTGGACATTTACACCTACCTTAGCCATTTACTATTGTCTTGGAATATATACAAAGTATTTATATGTCCCAGCAATGTTTTGGATGTGTGGAAGTATATAATAAGGAGGAGGAGGAGGATGATTTTGATGAGGATGAGGATGATGAGGATGATGATGAGGATGATGATGATGAGGATGATGATGATGAGGATGAGGATGATGAGGAGGAGGATGATGAGGATAACACATAATAATAATAGGTAATAATAAGTTCCCTTGAAGCATGAAAAACAAAGTCCACCCCTGACAGTGACATGATGAGATGAGATAACTGATAAGAGCTGACGTTTGATGAGCGTACACAAGGGTGGGGGAGGGTGCAGCTGATAAGAAAAGATTAGAGGTGATATTTGATGAGCATCGCCCTCACTTTGTTTTTGCTGGTACACAAACATGTCTGTCTGTCTATTTGCCTGTCTGTCAAGCTCCCTGTCTATCTGTCTATCCGTCTAGCTCTCTGTCTCAGAGAGAGCCACAAGACTGCGTTGTCATCACGTTTACTCACATCTTCAAGCAGAATATAGCACTTTGTCTGGATTTTTTGGGTTATCCTAGGTAATTTACACTATGTATACTTGTATTTATGTGTACCTGTGAGACAGAGATAGACAGACAGATAGAAAGAGAGACAGATTGAAAGAGATACAGAGACAGACAACAACAGATAGAGACAGAGACAGATAGACAGACAGAGGTAGACAGAGATAGAGATAGAGATACAGAGATAGACAGACCCTAAATTTGGGGTTAACATCACTTTCCTCTTAAAAGAGGAGTGTTAATATGACATTACATCAGTGAATCCTTGGTGTTTGCCACACTGTTTGCTCTAGCTGGCGCTCAATTTAACTGGCGCTCCCACAAGGTACTAAGTGGTTCCAGATTTTTTTAATACTGCACACACTGATTGTTAGGACCCATTCTATGCTGACAAGGCATATCAGGCCAATCATGCCAAATTTGAAGGCAGGAAAAATAAAACATGTACATGTATATACGTTTGGGGCTATGCGTAAGAACGTATATGTATATGTTTGGACCGTTTAAGGGTTAAGAGAAATTTCAATTACTCTGATATGGAAAACTCTAGGAAATTAAAAGTGTATTGGAGTATAAAACAAATTCTAATCATACAGTAGAGTGAAAAACTGTTGTGGAGGACCTGGGAGTGATAATGTTAGAGGATCTCGCTTTCAAAGCTCACAACAGTGTATCTACCACATCTGCTAGGAAAATGAGAAAATGGATAATGAGAGCCTTCAAAACTTGGGATGCCAAGCCCATGGTGATTCTCTTCATATTGCTTGTTTTCTCTAGGCTGGAATATTTTTGTACACTAACGGCCCCTTTCAAAGCAGGCGAAATTGCAGAACATACAGAGAACTTTCATGGCACATATAATTATGATAAAACACCTAAATTACTGGGAATGGTTGAAGTCCTTTGATTTGTACTCCCTGGAACTCAGGTGAGAATGGTACATGATAATATACACTTGGAAAATCCTAGAGAGACTAATCCCAAATTTGCACCTGGAAATCACTCCATGTGAAAGCAAAAAACTGGTCAGGAGATGCAACATCCCCCCCAATGAAAAACAGGGGTACCATGAGTACACTAAGAGACAACACAGTATGTGTCAGGGGCCCAAGACTGTTTAACTGCCTCAAAGCATACATAAGGGGGGGATTACAAATAGACCCCTGGCTGTCTTCAAGAAGGCACTGGACAGGCGCCTAACAGTAACAGCCTAGTTGATGAGACTGATCCACCATGAGGCCTGGTCACAGATCGTACCATGGTGGCATTGATCCCCGAAGCCCTCTCCAGGTATACTATGTCATTCTACAGACTATTCCACTTACCAACAACTCTATGACTGAAGAAATACTTCCTAACATCCCAGTGACTCATCTAGTCTTCAGCTTCCAATTGTGACCCCTTGTTGCTGTGTCCCATATCTGGAACATCCTTTGTCTGTCCACCTTGTCAGTTCCTCTCAGTATATTATATGTCATTATCATGTCCCCCTCTCTCTCCTGTGTCATCAGGTCAATTTTCCTTAACCTCTACTTGTAGGACATGCCCTTTAGCTCTGGGACTAGTCTCATTGCAAATCTTTGCACTTTTTCTAATTTCTTGACGTGCTTGATCAGGTGTGGGTTTCAAACTGGTGCTACATTCTCCAGTATGGGCCTGATGTAAACTGTACAGAGTCCTGAACAATTCCATACTGAGGTATCGGAATGCTATTCTTGGGTATGCGTGCATGAGCATGCATATGTGTGTGTGTGTATGTGTATTTGTTTGTTTATTTTTATTGGCCATCTTTCGCCAAGGCAGGATGACTGTAAAATATTTATTTTCCTTAATTATCGTGTAAGTAAATCTTACATTTTGAAAGTATGGTACAGTGAGAGTTCACTTATTGGATCCTCTTCAGTCAGAATTTCAGTGATCTATCCCATTATTAATTGGCATTTGAAATTTAATCGATTATTCCAGTTTGGTTAATTTTTTTCTGTGCTTTTATATGAAAAGTATTCTTTTTGTATACCAGTATGTACAGTTTATATGTGTGGTAGCTTCCTATTTCTTTGGTAGAATGGTCAAGAATTGGTTCTTAATTACTGTCATAATTTTAAGCTTAGTTTCATAATTTTTTTTATCTTGTTTATCAAATGTTTTTTATTTATTGTATAGTTGTATGTTTATAGTGTGCATTTGTGCTAGGCTTGTGTTTCTATGGTACTAGTTGTCAAAAACAATATATTTAATACAATAATTGTATTTTATTTAAAGCTGAATTTCAGAATGACTTTTTTTTTGTCTATTTTTTATTAAATTTGTTAATTTTTGTACATGTTCATTTTGTACAGATTTGTTTTGGGATCAAATGCATTAATGATCATTATCTCAATAACCATCATTACATTCTGTAATCTATGCAAACAGCAATAATTGAGTTCTATCAGCTGGAAATTTACTAAACGGCATTGATTTCCCATTAGCTGTGTTAAGGGAATTATAAGTGTACAGTATTTAAATTTTTTTTTTACCTCAACAGGCATTTCCTGCCAAGACAGGGTGATTCAGTGAAGTAAACACATTCCTATATGTACAAAAAGAATTTCCTGTTGGTATAGTTCAGTGACGTAAATAGCCATTCGATAATGAATAGATTTATAAATTTCTTTAATTGCAAAGCATACTGATGTGTAAATTTTATTTTAAGGTATTCTTCTGGTCTTTGCCTTGGAATGAGCTCACAGGATGAGCCAAGTTCTTTCCTGGGATCCCTTCTAGCAATAACAGTGCAAAGATCTGATCTAAAGAACCAGGCTGATACAAGGTTTTTCATTGCTAACAGCAAAGGCAGAAAGGATGACTTTATTCAGGAAGACAGCTTTGTAAGTTAATGAACTTTTTGGTTTAACAAAATATTACTGTATTTCCTAAGAACATCTTTGCAGGAATTTCAGTTTTAAAATTGTTGATCTTATCTTTGACAGGATCCTCAATTTTCATGTTCTTGGAAAACAAACTCTAAGGAGGTTATTGTGATCATCTTTGAGAAATCCTATTTTTTTCCTGAGGGGAAAGTACATTGCATTGTTTTAGTCATTACCCTTATCTCCCACCTGTATTTTGCTTCCATGCAAGTAGAGTGCAGATTCACTTGTGCCTTTAATTAAAGTGTGTTATGTATTTAATTCAAGAATGTCGATTTTTATTTTTTATCAGTAGAGTACACTTGGATGATTTGATTCAGAGCCAACAGTTTGTTGGTTACAGAATTGTCCATTTTTGTTTAGATCATGGCACAACAGTCTCATAGCTATCCACCACAACTGTTATAAATAAGTTTATTTTGGTACAGGTACACATAAATACAATTACACAAATTATCATACATAGCATAACCCAAAAAATCAGACAGTGACTTGTTTCCATTCCCAGCCACTTGCTCCCTGTCAGTTAGTCTCTTAAATAGAGAGTTTACTACATTATTACTTTTTATGAAAATATTTAAAACCTATGAAATATTTAAAACCTAGTAAAGTAAAGTAAAGTAAAGTTTATTTTTTTGTAAAGGTTACAATTTGTAATTACAATTTTGATTTGCTAAGTACAAAGATAGCCACTATCATGTTGTGCAAGAAAGGTATAAAATACCGACAATATGAAAGTTAAGACACATGTGCAACATCTGGATATCTTTATTGTAGACGTTTCGCCATCCAGTGGCTTTATCAATACAGATTCTAGGACATAATAGTTCTACTGTCTTCCTATTATGTCCTAGAATCTGTATTGATAAAGCCACTGGATGGCGAAACGTCTACAATAAAGATATCCAGATGTTGCACATGTGTCTTAACTTTCAGCCACTATCATGCTGAGGCATTTTGAGCAAACTAATCCTAATGCATAGTAACTAATTAAAACTAGATAAGATAATAGTACATAGTAACTATAATTAAAACTAGACAAGGAATAGTGGTTAGCTGTTTTACAGTCTTATTTAAACTTAATACAATTTTATTTAAACTTAGTAGTACAAGTAGGGTTCAGTAAAATAAGCTTGAAATTTCTCACAAAATCTACCTGACAAGTAATAGTGCAGGTGGTAATGTTTTATGGAATGGCAGAATTAAAAGCCAGGAGGTCACATGATAAGACTAATTAGCAGATGTTTTGGCAGATTTGATTAATATTGAGAAATAAGATGATTTTATGGATTGGCAGAATTAAGAGCCTAGAGGTCACATCATAAAACTAGTTAGCAGATGTTTGGTTGATTTGGTTAATATTGTGAGATAAGATGTTTTTTTAGCAAAGTCCTAAATTTATAACCTGTCAGGGGATCCTTGACCTCTTCCGGTAGCGAGTTCCAGATCTTCGGGCCTTTTATGTGCATAGTGTTTTTGCATAGTGAGAGTCTGACTTGAGGGATGTTGAAAAGTGCCTTATGCCTTGTATTGTGCCTGTGCATTCTGTTGTACTGTCAAGGAGTAGTTTTAGGGGAGGATTTACAGTGGAGTTTAATGTTCTGTATATGTAGTAGGCACAATAATAAGAGTGTATGTCTTGTAGATTTAGCATGTTGAGTTCAGTTTAATTGTCCTTCAGGCAAAATGCCATTTAACCAGAGTACAAATTCTTCTAGGATCTGTTTTATTTACAAAACAAATTGCTTTTTATTAGTAATATTTTGTTATAGATTTTAGCTTAAAGTGGGCAAAATCGCCGATGTGTAAACATCGTCGAGACCGCTAACTTCGCAAGAGCATAATTCCGTAAGTTTTCCATCAAATTTCATACTTTTGGTGTCATTATGACCGGGAAAAGATTCTCTTATCATTTCATAAGAAATTTTTTTTTTTTTTTTTTTTTTTAAATTTGGCCGACCCTGAGAACAAGTTTCTGAGAGGGCCCATCGACCCTGAAAGGGTTAAGTCAGTATATCAGTGCCAACAGTGATCTGTCTGGCTTCAAGACAACAGTAATCCCCTGCATAAAAACAAATGCTTTCCATAGGAAATGTTTTTAAGTCAATCTCATTTTCTCATTAACCCCCCATTATGTAATTGGAGATGATTAGCTGGAAAATAACTCCCATATTCTTTTTTACTTTCCCTTTTCAAACCATATTTTTATGGAAGTATTACATATGCATCAAACACACAGGACCTGACCCTAGTGTTCTCAGCCATGAGACTCCCTGGCAAATAACCTAACTTCTTTATGACTACAGAAAATTCATTTGGCCTTTTTCAGGAAAAGCTACTCAAATTTAAATTTTTAACCAAGAGCTCAAGTTTATTGCTTAAATTAAAAATAGTGATTTAAAGAATATATTTTATTAGTTAAAAAGAGCAGATGGTTATTATCCTAGGTTACTGTTGAATTAAGAAAATTCTGTAATTAACTCCAGAACTAGATGTGGCAGAGCCAGGAGCTGTGTGCTGGCTTGTGTGAAAAAAAAAGATTTCTCGCCTTTCCCTGTCTAAAGGCTCTTCATATTAGCCAAGACCATTCTGATCAAAGGAACTTACTGACCCTCATATTTCAAGAGGTTTTGAGTCCCAAACTAACTTTATGAGTTGTTTCTTAGTCAATGTTTTCTATCTTAAGGTTGTTTTTTTCCTCTCTCACTTCAATAATCTTATTTTTTTTTTATTATTATCACACCGGCCGATTCCCACCAAGGCAGGGTGGCCCGAAAAAGAAAAACTTTCACCATCATTCACTCCATCACTGTCTTGCCAGAAGGGTGCTTTACACTACAGTTTTTAAACTGCAACATTAACACCCCTCCTTCAGAGTGCAGGCACTGTACTTCCCATCTCCAGAACTCAAGTCCGGCCTGCCGGTTTCCCTGAATCCCTTCATAAATGTTACTTTGCTCACACTCCAACAGCACGTCAAGTATTAAAAACCATTTGTCTCCATTCACTCCTTCAAACACGCTCACGCATGCCTGCTGGAAGTCCAAGCCCTCGCACACAAAAACCTCCTTTACCCCCTCCCTCCAACCCTTCCTAGGCCGACCCCTACCCCGCCTTCCTTCCACTACAGACTGATACACTCTTGAAGTCATTCTGTTTCGCTCCATTCTCTCTACATGTCCGAACCACCTCAACAACCTTCCTCAGCCCTCTGGACAACAGTTTTGGTAATCCCGCACCTCCTCCTAACTTCCAAACTACGAATTCTCTGCATTATATTCACACCACACATTGCCCTCAGACATGACATCTCCACTGCCTCCAGCCTTCTCTCGCTGCAACATTCATCACCCACGCTTCACACCCATATAAGAGCGTTGGTAAAACTATACTCTCATACATTCCCCTCTTTGCCTCCAAGGACAAGTTCTTTGTCTCCACAGACTCCTAAGTGCACCACTCACTCTTTTTCCCTCATCAATTCTATGATTACCTCATCTTTCATAGACCCATCCGCTGACACGTCCACTCCCAAATATCTGAATACGTTCACCTCCTCCATACTCTCTCCCTCCAATCTGATATTCAATCTTTCATCACCTAATCTTTTTGTTATCCTCATAACCTTACTCTTTCCTGTATTCTCCTTTAATTTTCTTCTTTTGCACACCCTACCAAATTCATTCCACCAATCTCTGCAACTTCTCTTCAGAATCTCCCAAGAGCACAGTGTCATCGGCAAAGAGCAGCTGTGACACTCCCACTTTGTGTGTGATTCTTTATCTTTTAACTCACGCCTCTTGCCAAGACCCTCGCATTTACTTCTCTTACAAACCCCATCTATAAATATATTAAAAAACCCACGGTGACATCACACATCCTTGTCTAAGGCCTACTTTTACTGGGAAAAAATTTCCCTCTTTCCTACATACTCTAACTTGAGCCTCACTATCCTCTTTAAAACTCTTCACTGCTTTCAGTAACCTACCTCTCACCATACACTTGCAACATCTGCCACATTGCCCCCCTATCCACCCTGTCATACGCCTTTTCCAAATCCATAAATGCACAAAGACCTCTTTAGCCTTATCTAAATACTGTTCACTTATATGTTCACTGTAAACACCTGGTCCACACCCCCTACCTTTCCTAAAGCCTCCTTGTTCATCTGCTATCCTATTCTCCGTCTTACTCTTAATTCTTTCAATGTATAACTCTACCATAACTTTACCAGGTTTCACTCAACAGACTTATCCCCCTATAATTTTTACACTCTCTTTTATCCCCTTTGCCTTTATACAAAGGAACTATGCATGCTCTCTGCCAAACCCTAGGTACCTTACCCTCTTCCATACATTTATTAAATAATTGCACCAACCACTCCAAAACTATATCCCCACCTGCTTTTAACATTTCTATCTTTATCCCATCAATCCCGGCTGCCTTACCCCCTTTCATTTTACCTACTGCCTCACGAACTTCCCCCACACTCACAAATGGCTCTTCCTCACTCCTACAAGATGTTATTCCTCCTTGCCCTATACACGAAATCACAGCTTCCCTATCTTCATCAACATTTAACAATTCCTCAAAATATTCCTTCCATCTTCCCAATACCTCTAACTCTCCATTAATAACTCTCCTCTCCTATTTTTAACTGACAAATCAATTTGTTCTCTAGGCTTTCTTAACTTGTTAATCTCACTCCAAAACTTTTCTTATTTTCAACAAAATTTGTTGATAACATCTCACCCACTCTCTCATTTGCTCTCTTTTTACATTGCTTCACCACTCTCTTAACCTCTCTCTTTTCTCCATATACTCTTCCCTCCTTGCATCACTTCTACTTTGTAAAAAATTCTCATATGCTAACTTTTTCTCCCTTACTACTCTCTTTACATCATCATTCACCAATCGCTCCTCTTCCCTCCTGCACCCACTTTCCTGTAACCACAAACTTCTGCTGAACACTCTAACACTACATTTTTAAACCTACCCATTACTCTTCGACCCCATTGCCTATGCTCTCATTAGCCCATCTATCCTCCAATAGCTGTTTATATCTTACCCTAACTGCCTCCTCTTTTAGTTTATAAACCTTCACCTCTCTCTTCCCTGATGCTTCTATTCTCCTTGTATCCCATCTACCTTTTACTCTCAGTGTAGCTACAACTAGAAAGTGATCTGATATATCTGTGGCCCCTCTATAAACATGTACATCCTGAAGTCTACTCAACAGTCTTTTATCTAAACCCTACATAATCCAACAACTACTGTCATTTCGCCTACATCATATCGTGTATACTTATTTATCCTCTTTTTCTTAAAATATGTATTACCCATAACTAAACCCCTTTCTATACAAAATTCAATCAAAGGGCTCCCATTTTCATTTACACCTGGCACCCCAAACTTACCTTACCACACCCTCTCTAAAAGTTTCTCCTACTTTAGCATTCAAGTCCCCTACCACAATTACTCTCTCACTTGGTTCAAAGGCTCCTATACATTCACTTTAAAATCTCCCAAAATCTCTCTCTCTCCTCTGCATTCCTCTCTTCTCCAGGTGGGATACACGCTTATTATGACCCACTTCTCGCATCCAACCTTTACTTTAATTTCCCCATAATTCTTGAATTTACACATTCATATTCTCTTTTCTCCTTCCATAATGATCATTTAACATTACTGCTACCCTTCCTTTGCTCTAACTCTCTCAGATACTCCAGATTTAATCCCATTTATTTCCCCCCACTGAAACTCTCCTACCCCTTCAGCTTTGTTTCGCTTAGGGCCAGGACATCCAACTTCTTTTCATTCATAACATCAGCAATCATCTGTTTCTTGTCATCCGCACTACATCCACGCACATTTAAGCAACCCAGTTTTATAAAGTTTTTCTTCTTCTCTTTTTTAGTAATTGTATACAGGAGAAGGGGTTACTAGCCCATTGCTCCCGGCATTTTAGTCGCCTCATACGACACGCATGGCTTACGGAGGAAAGATTCTTTTCCACTTCCCCATGGACAATAGAAGAAATAAAAAAGAGCAAGAGCTATTTAGAAAAAGGAGAAAAACCTAGATGTATGTATATATATATATGCATGTGCGTGTCTGTGAAGTGTGACCAAAGTGTAAGTAGGAGTAGCAAGATATCCCTGTTATCTTAGCGTGTTTATGAGACAGAAAAAGAAACCAGCAATCCTACCATCATGCAAAACAGTTACAGGTTTTTGTTTCACAGTCATCTGGCAGGACGGTAGTACTTCCCTGGGTGGTTGCTGTCTACCAACCTACTACCTTATTAATTATATAATTTTGGCTACCTCACTTTTGTAATAGTGTAAAATAATGAATAATTAAAATTTACCACACCATAACCCATGTCCAGTTTTAAGTAGTCAGTAACCATTAGGATTAATCTGCCTGAAATGCTCAGACATAATACATGTAGTGGCTTCCTTTGTACTTAACAATATTTTGTAATATGTAAATCACACATTGTAAACTTTGCAAAGAAATAAAAATTTGAATTTGAATTCTGTGATGGGAAAATGCAAGTTAAAAGATCAATTTTATGTCAACTCATTTACTGACTACATATACACTTTCATACTGTTGTATGCACCTCTCGGTACTGCTGTACGATGTCAATTTAAACTCATATTTCTTAAGTGCTGCTTTTATCTATTTGTTGCTGTATATGCTCCTGCTTATCCTCCTACATTGTCCCTCAGGTCATATGGGGTAACATCCTACTTCAGTATGTGGAGTGGTTTTGTGGCAAGAAGGGTGATGATGGAGAAGCTCTACCTTGTTATGGTGCATGCCTGGCTACCACAATGCTTAAAGATGACTACTTATCACCTACCACAGGTGCTACAGCTCCAGGGAGTCTTAGGTAAGTTCTCCTTATCTTTGTACACTTTAATTGTTTGATTTTTATTTATTGTCTGCCTTGTTTCCTCTGGGAACTTTCCATCTGCAAGGGTTTGTCCTGTGTTGATCACCATCAACCTGACTGGCCAAAACCAGATCATGATTTTCAAACAGAGAATCAAGCTTTCAACACTCCTTGCACTGAGTTTAGCAGTGTTTACTTGATAAGTCTTTTTAATTTCCAGTGGTTGCATCACTTACAGCCTCCTCTTGAATCACATTTCATTATTCGAGCACTTAATTTGCGAAGAATTTTTTGTATCGTTTTGACATCGTTGGTGATCTTTTGTTCTCTCTGTTAATGGCATTAAAAAATCCTTATTTTTTGGGGAACCTTTTATTACCTTTACAAATGCTTTAAATATTTTACCATACAGTCTGTATGCTTCTGGTAGTGTGTTATTGTTTTCTTCCATTTCTATTTCATGGCACATATATTTTGGTACATTAAATTTTATCATCCACAGTATCATCCATCATTTAGATTAGATGATAATGATATTTTAAATGCAGTGCTATTTCTATAGCAAAAAATGACAAATATTCCAATATATATAGTTGCATTTGTTACTATGGAAAAGTATGTTTTTATTTTTTGGTCACTGAATACCAAGTCACTTACAGAGTTTGTCATCAGCTGTTACAAGTGATGATATTGTCTTCATCACATTCAAGTGGAAATCATTAGTTCAAATTCTTCTTGAAGTTCTGAGAGTGGCTTTCTCACAAGTTATTGCAGAAGCAGTGTACCAAAGATACAAAAAATACAAGATACAGATTTGGATAGTCTTAAAGAGAATAGAATTATCAAGTATGTTCAAAGATATTCACATGTGTAATTAAAATGTGAATACTGTACTTACTGCTTAAATAGCTATTTACAAAGTTTTTTTTTTTTTCCAGAACTCCTGTGGCAGAGACTTTCCTCATCAATACTGTAACTGGAATGAAGATCCCCATCAACATGGGCCATGACAAGATCATCTATCATTTAGTAGTATATAATGACACAGTTCCGAAGGGTTACCAGTTAAAGGTGAGATTATCTGTACACTTGCATGCTTTCAGTGAAACTGCTTTTTCATCATTGTTAGGGTTGGTATGTAGCATTTAAAAGGAAAGCTGAAATTGTCTAGATTTTGGATATTATATTAACTTTACATTCCAGTTTGAAAACCATAGTTATTTGAATTCTGTACAGTGGAAGCCCGAGTTTTGGCCGCCCTGGATATCAGCCGCTTTGAGTTTCGACTGCTTTTTTTGGCTAAATTTTGTCTCGAGTTTTGGCCGCTGCTCCGTGTTTCGGCCGGCTTACCAGACCTGTCTCCCTGCCCGTGCAGGTGTCTTGAGCCAGTCTAGCTTTGCTTATCCTTGAGTGAACATTACCCTGCTCACTCATCCGAACATTTAACAATAAATTCATTGTGTTTAGTGCTTGTTTATTGATTGTGACTGTGAAATGAGTCACCATGGGCCCAAAGAAACTTCATAGTGGCAGTGAGGCAGTGGTTGAGGCAATAATAAGTCCTCCCTCTCTCCTCCTCCCTATCTTCCAGATACCAGCAAATCTTCAATAAAGGTACGTGTACTCATTTAATACTATATGTATGTATTAAGTACTATATGTATGTTAAACTATAGTTATTCTTTAAAAATGTATTTTTTGTGAATATTTTTTTGAGTCTGGAACGGATTAATTGTATTTACAATTGTATTTTACAATATATCTTTTGTCTTATACAAATTTATAATTAATAATCTACTGTACAACTATGAAATAATTACTATCCTACCGTACAACTATGATATAATCCTTAGTGTTAAGTAGTCTGTAAGCCAATAATGTTAAGTTGGCCCATAATGCCTAGGCATAATAGAGGCTCTTTTTGCATTGCAACCCACTATTTTTTTTATTATTATTATCACACTGGCCGATTCCCACCAAGGCAGGGTGGCCCGAAAAAGAAAAACTTTCACCATCATTCACTCCATCACCGTCTTGCCAGAAGGGTGCTTTACACTACAGTTTTTAAACTGCAACATTAACACCCCTCCTTCAGAGTGCAGGCACTGTACTTCCCATCTCCAGGACTCAAGTCCGGCCTGCCGGTTTCCCTGAACCCCTTCACAAATGTTACTTTGCTCACACTCCAACAGCACGTCAAGTATTAAAAACCATTTGTCTCCATTCAATCCTATCAAACCGCTCATGCATACCTGCTGGAAGTCCAAGCCCCTCGCACACAAAACCTCCTTTACCCCCTCTCTCCAACCTTTCCTAGGCCGACCCCTACCCCGCCTCCTTCCACTACAGACTGATACACTCTTGAGTCATTCTGTTTCGCTCCATTCTCTCTACATGTCCCAACCACCTCAAAACCCTTCCTCAGCCCTCTGGACAACAGTTTTGGTAATCCCGCACCTCCTCCTAACTTCCAAACTACGAATTCTCTGCATATATTCACACCACACATTTCCCCCAAGACATGACATCTCCACTGCCTCCAGCCTTCTCCTCGCTGCAACATTCATCCCCATGCTTCACAAACCCCTATAAGAGCGTTGGTAAAACTATTTCTCTCATACATTCCCCTCTTTGCCTCCAAGGACAAAGTTCTTTGTCTCCCCAGACTCCTAAGTGCACCACTCACCTTTTTTCCCTCATCAATTCTATGATTCACCTCATCTTTCATAGACCCATCCGCTGACACGTCCACTCCCAAATATCTGAATACATTCACCTCCTCCATACTCTCTCCCTCCAATCTGATATTCAATCTTTCATCACCTAATCTTTTTGTTATCCTCATAACCTTACTCTTTCCTGTATTCACCTTTAATTTTCTTCTTTTGCACACCCTACCAAATTCATCCACCAATCTCTGCAACTTCTCTTCAATACAAAATCTCAATGTACTGTTTGCAGACATAAATTTCATATGGGAAATATTGCCTCTACTTTCGGCTGTTTCAAGTTTAGGCCTAGCTCCTGGAACGGATTACAGTTGAAACTTGGGGTTCCACTGTATTTTTAAGTAAAAAATGTCAAATACAGTTTTTTTTTTTTTTTTTTTTTGTAATTATGGAAACTTGTTTAACCCTTTGAGGGTCGACAGGCCCTCTCCGAAACTCGTTCTCAGGGTCGGCCAAATTTAAAAAAAAAAAAATTATTTTTTCTTATGAAAAAATAGTTTTTTTTTCTAAACATTATAGGATAAACAAAAAAAATTTACCATCAATACTTACGGAGATATGGATGCATGAAGTTTGCAGAAAATGAGCCGCGTATGGCAACAGCGGCGACTGCCGCTCACCCGGTAAACTTTAGTTTACTTGTATTTGAAGGTTTGTTTTTTTCACTATTTTATTTTTTCACATAACTTATGTGGCCTATGAGACCAAAGTAAGGTGCAATGTACATATATCACTCGTTGTATACAACACAATAAGCACACAAACATAATTATCAATATATTGTTTACAAACTTGTTTACAAAAACAAACAATACAAAACATTGTTTATTATTATTGTTCTATAATATATATACCAATATACGTCACTGAACTATCCTATTAGTTTCTGCAGAGCTTGTGGACTCTGAAACTTGGTGTCATACACATGGTGTTTCATCTTTCTCCCTCATTCAATCTTTTCATTCTGTCTCCTCTCTTTTCTAATCTGTCTGCTGTCTATCTCGTCTCACAGATTACAATAATACAACTGTTATACTTTAGTTATAAATTACTAGGATAACCCAAGAAATCCGCAAAGTGCCTATATTCTGCTTGAAGATGTGGAGTTATTGTGATGATCTCAGTCTTGGGCTTCTGAGACGGGAGAGTAGACGGAATAGACAGATAGACAAGGGAGTTGACAGACCGACAAATAGACAGACAGAAATGTTAGTGTACCAGGTACCAGTGTACTAGTGTTCCACCTTCCTCCTCTTCTTCCTCTTCCTCCTCTTCCCCCTATCTTCCTCCTCTTCCCCCTACTCTTCTCATATCATTCCTCTATCCTCTTCCTCCTACTTCTTCCTCTTCCTCCTCTCTTCCTCCTCTTCCTCCTACTCTTCCCTTCCTCCTCCTTCTCCTCCTCCTGTTTCCTCTTCCCCTAATCTTCCTCCATACTATTTCTCTTCCTCCTCCTCTTCCTCATATTCCTCTTCCTCCTACTCTTCCTCTTCCTCCTTACTCTCTTCCTCCCCCCCTCCCTTATTCTTCCTCTTCCCCCTACTCTTCCTCCTTCTCCTTCTCCTCCTACTCCATAGTTGTAAATTACCAGGAGTCGGCAGCTGTCAATATTGACATAATTGTCTCATTACTCACTCCCCCTCCCACCTTGTCCAAATCAATGGGGTCGGATGCTGCCTTCCCTTCTCCATTCTGTCTAATTATCTTTCTCCCTATTCTGTCTCTTTCTATCTGTCTGTATATCTCTGTCTCACAGGTACTCATTAATACAAGTATGACTAGTATAAATTACCTAGGTAAACCCAGAAAGAAAACAGACAAAGAGCTATACTCTGCTTGAAGATGTGAGTAAAAGTGTGATTTACTGACGGCAGGCTTGTGGCTCTCTGAGACAGAGAGCTGGACGGATAGACAGGGAGCTTGAAGCAGACAAATTGACAGACAGAATGGTTAGTAGTACAGCAAAAAACAAAGGTGAGGGCGGATGTCGTGTCATCTTTGGGTATCAGCTGCACCCTCATTTACCTCATCAAACGTCAGCACTATCAGATGTTATTTCCCCTTATCTTGTTTACTGTATGGGTGTAACATTTATTATTACATATTTATTATTATTATTATTATTCCTATTATTTTTTATTATGTATTATTATTAGTATTATTATTATTATGTATTATGGTTTCATTCCGTATTCTTCTTCTTCCTCTACTCACTCCTCCTCTTCTTCCTCCTCCTCCTCATCCTCTTCTTCACCTCATCTCTCCTCCTCCTCCTCCTCCTCTTACATCTCCTCTCCTCCTCTTCTTCCTCTCCTCCTCCTCCTCCTCCTCTTGCCTCCTCCTCTGCTCCTCCTCCTCTGCCTCCTCTCCTCCTCCATTCTTGGAACAAGTTTGAAGAGTTTGTAGTTCATATTCTATTTCATTTCATACCAATGCTCAATCTGAGTATGGGATTTTGGAAAATAGGAGTTTCCTTTTGATTCTTGTAACTGAACGTGAAGAAGACGGCCCAGCTCCAGAGGTGGAAAAGGCTGTGGGGTTGTATGGGTTTTCCTCACGATTACCCATATTTTGGTTTCATTAGTTTCGGTTCAAAAACCTCACCAGAACCTTTGAAATCATCTTCCTGTCATTCCATCTGTATTAGAACTGTCACTGGGTACCAAAAGTGTCCCAATTCGCGGGTGTGACGGAACTATCTTACCGCAGGGCACGGTGGAAATTGTGCTATGATGGCAGCCCACAATGCACCATGGGTCGCAGATTTTTTGCCTACTGCCGCACTCCCACCCACACAGACCTTTCTCTCACTATCTAGGCTTAATCAGCATTTTCCTCGAGATTTGAGGCCGCTAGAATTTATGCGTACTAGTACGGCAATAACCCCTACGCGTTAAGACGTATAGTACGACCAAAAACCCTCAAAGGTTTTATACTGTGCTTTTATTTTTATTGCTTGAATTATATGAACAAATTAGGGCAATGGTTCTTCAACCAGGAAACGGTTCTCCAATCATATATTTACGTTTTTTTCAAACATTTGTTAGTACAGTGGACCCCCGCATACTGGATGGATCACATAGCGATTTTTCCGCCATTACCGCTTACTATTTAGCAAAAATTTTGCCGCGCCATTACGATTAAAAACCCGCTCACCGATTTTCGTCCGAGACGCGTCCAATGTTGCCCTTCTCAGGTGCCAGCCCCGTCCCATTGTGTACAGCAGCCTCCGCGGTAACATCCAAAGCATACACTCGGGAATATTCGTATTATTATTCAGTGTTTTCGGATTGCTGTTTCTGGAAAATAAGTGACCATGGGCCCCAAGAAAGCTTCTAGTGC